AAAAGCACTTAGGTCCACTGGATTCTGATATATCCCATTTTGTTTCAGTTTTTAAAAAGTGCCAGTCACTACCCATCAAGTCAATTTTGCTTAAACACTACATAGTTCATGATCCCCAGTTAGAAACTTTGGAAACAGGCTGAAAAATGAAGTTATCTATCTAGTTATGTAATCTTAGATATATAGAATCAAGAAGTCTTATTAAAATACTAGAAGCCCGGTGCACAAAATTCATGCGGCAGCCCGGTCACCCCACGCAGCCTGCTGCTCAGTCGTTTGGCCGTCCCTCACTAACCCCCATGCTGGCCTTGTCGCCCCACTCAGCCTGTTCGGTCATCCATTCGGTTGTTTCGGATGTGACGGCCCCTGGCTCTCTCTATATATAGATGCCCATGGTCCCTTCTTGCTCTAAAATAATTTGATTTTAAGTCAACTAAAATTATCTCAGCTTCTGTGAGTTTCTGTAGATGCAGACTGAATGAGTCACTTTCCCCCCTTTAAACTAACACATTACCGTTGGCCCTCAGTAAAATATCATACTTTTGCTTTTGAAATGCCACTCCCAGTCAATTAATCTTGAAGGGATTAGCAATATGACAATGTGTGTGAGCCAACCGTTGAGGCTTTATTTCTAAATTAAATGAAGCCTGAACTTTCTAATTCCGTTTGTTGACTCCATTTATTTAATCATTTAAATGGCAAAACAAATCATGGTCCTGCAGAATTCTAATGCATAGGACATACTAACGAGCATTCCAGAGAGCTGATGGAGAGTTTTAACTCACCCCATTTTTTATGGGGTGAACTTATCATCGTTTAAATACTTTATTTACCAAATCTATAATTCGACAGCAAAATTCCTGAAACATCCCATATGTAAATATGTAAAAAAAGCACCCAATGTAATGCCAGCCTCCACCTTTCTCCCATTTACTTACACTCCTCCCTGCTGTAATGTGGCTGCTGGGTCCGGACACTCGCCTCTGGATTAGAGATGGTCTCTTCCTTCTTCTGTGTCTGGTTGCGACTAGGAGGCCACAATACACTATTGTGGCACAAAGTGGCACCCGACCCTTGTAACACAGCAAGCCCGAAGTCTGAGTTTTCCCTCTGCTGCAGTATTCTTTGTGTACAGTCTGAGAGGCCGCCCGTACTTCCATCTAGCCATTTTGCAGAATACTTTGGTACTTGGGAGTCAAACTGTGGGAGCAGCTTTTTCTCCGGCTTATGCCTGAAATTAAACAGGTGATGCTGGGGAGGTTTAGAACACTCCGAATCTGAATCCACATCCTTATTTTGTGCGTACTGTACAATCCAGTTTATCTTCTTACTCAAAATGGCTTTAACGTCTTCATAATAAGTATTTTTGGAAAGCTTAGATCGAGGACAATCCTGGTTTGCAATCAAATGGTATTTTTCAAAGCAGTCTTTATGGCCCCTTAATGATGTGGTGTGCAAGAGATTAGATTTTGGTATTCCTATAAAAAAAACAAGATGAGAAAATTTCATTTTCTAAATTGCATTACGAATCTTAGTAAATCACGGAGTTACTGATAGTTTGTAAATGAGGGGGAAAATTCTAAAGAAGATTGGTATTAATAATACAAAATATGCTCTAATAATTCTGCTTCAAATAAATATATATTTAACTGTATATTTAGTAATGTTAAATTCCTATGAATAGCAAAGCCTTTTTAAGAACTTAAAAGATTCAATTTTAACATTAGTCTAGGTACGTTATTGTATATAATATAAAAAATAATAATAATGGACCAGCAATTTACATTTACAGACTCTCGGCCTTTACATTACAGGTAGCTCTACGGTATTCTGCTACTCGATTCTAATCCTTACAGCTCAGGATACATAGCAGTAGATAGAAAGAACTTGAAACCCGCCTACTTTTTTATCTTCAGAAAATTTATTAAAGAGCTTCCTCACGCTCTATAAACTCTGTTAGGTGTTGTTGCCAAAAGATGACTGGCCAGTCCCCGCCCAAACAGGAAATGGTCTCATTCTCATTCCATTGCTGCAGCTCTAATCCATGTAGCAATGATTTAGTTGGATCTAAACAGTAAATTACAAAAGTCTCCTTCAAGTCAATATAAAAAAAAATTCTTTAGCATATAAAAAGGGATCTAGGTTCTAAACTAGGCTACACAAAGTAATTTTGCTGTTAAATTTTACAAAATTTATCTAGAAACTTCAGAAATTGTATTAAAAATTATATGAAACAATAAATTTCCCAATGTACCCCAGAGCTTTAACAACAGGTCAATGTAACAGATGTGTACTATTAAAAAAATAATGTGGGCTTTTAAAAGTTAAGGCTTTTCTTATTCCAGATTGCTTCTTAGTAATTAATGTAATATAACTTTCTTTCTCCATAAGTAATTTTTCTTTTAACTTTTGCTTAAATCCCCAAATGAATGCTAGGAACCCAGCTACCTACATAATAATGTGCACATAAGTAATCTGTTGAGATGAACAGCAAATCAGAGAACCACCGTATTCAATTTACTGTGAAAATACATATATGTGACTAATATTTCAGATTCTTTCAGACATTCAGGAGAAAAATCCCCTAAAAAAGACATGAAGAAAATAAGTGTCATGGCAAGAGTTCTGATACAACGTACATTTCCACCTAGATGTCTGGTGAGCTTCTCAAACTCATCCTGTCTAATAAACTCCTCTTCCTTCATTCTCACTACCCAATCCCCAAACCCAGATCCTCTTCCTGAGCCTGGCATCACCAGCCACTTAAGGAAGAAACGTGTGGCAGCTCCTCACCTCTCCCCCAACTTTCTGAGGTGGTGTGCTGCCCATCTTAATAGATTTTGCCCCACAACATCTAGTAATACAACAATTCAAATCCTGCTTCACTCCATTACCACTCCCATTACACTGTCTGGATCATCTCCTGTCTGGTTCTCATTGCCTCTAAGAAACCTTTTCTGACCAATACATCTACCAGTTTAATACTGGATTCTCCAATTGCCTCTTCACCTGCCGTTAGTTCTTGCAGTAAGTTCTGTGAGAAAGGGTGCCGATCTGTTTTACATGCATCCTCAATGTCACAGTGCCTGGCACACAGTGAGTACTCCAGAAAAAGTAATTAAATGAATGAAGGAAAATTAAAATCATAAAAAACAAACAACCCAAAACTTATTACCCAGTATCATTCAAGGTCTACTGAAATAAGACTTTCTGCCCATCCTAGCCAGGGAACCAGGAGGGCGGTGTTGCCAGGCTGCTCGAGGTTAACAGAGGCATCTTCCAGTGAACTTGCTCCTACATTTAGTCTGACGGGCCATCAGCCTGAAGAGCCGATGAGTGGCACTGATACAGAGATGCCACTGCTGTGGCATCAGTCAACCTGCCAAGCAAAATCAGGAACTCCTACTCAATTACGTACTTCAACAGAAATTACATATACTGAGGAAAGGTTGCTTTATGTAAACCACAGCTTGTTCATCCAGATATGTTCCTCCTCTTTTAGCTCACTAAAAATTTAAAACTTGACTGTGTTCTGAAGTTCATTTTTGAAAATATCTGCTATATAAACATAGTTTAAAAATCCCATGCAGTAGCAAAGGACACAAAAAGTTAAAAAAATATAATGCACTGACTACTTCAGATACCTGAACAAATTACTTTTTAATCTAGAAAATGGAAGTAGGCCACTTAATTTGTATTCAACATACATGCCATTTTATAAACTCTTGAAGTTATTTTGGTTTTTTTCCACCTCATCAGTTCGAATTAATATAAGAGGAAAAACAATTGCTTTTTTCAGAGATTCTAGAGGTTTCTAACTGACTCTACAATTTCAGTTGCATTTACAAATATAAACAGCTCTGAGCACTAATGTTTCCTCAGCAGCTTTTGATAGGGAACGAATCTAAATGCGATGAAATGAGTTGATAATTTTGAGGAGCTGAGTTATAAGGAACTTCTAAACCAGTTCAACAAAAACTGCACAACTTGCTTACTAATAAAAATCTTGAAGGCCAATGTAACTGACATCCTATTATAACTTCCTTAAAAAATACTTCAATGATGTCCATGTCACAATTTTTTTTTTTTTGTCATGAGGTCATTACTTTTAGAGAACCAAGACCTTAATTGGCAATCATAATTGCTGATTTTTTAAAAGTACTAGTTTTAGATAGAGACTTTTAGAAATGTACATGGGCAGTTTATTTCCGTATGAACAGTGCCATTTTTAAAAAGTTAATCTGTCTCTATTGAATAGTTTTCTTTCTTATTGTTTCCCATTTTCATCTGATTTTGTTATACTACTCTTACATCCTTTGAGAACCCTCCCACTAACCCATCTGGCATGCTATCACCATTTCTATTCTTTAAGTTCCCCTGGAAGATCAATTCACTTTAAGAAAACTTGGTTAAAAATACAACCTTCCAAAACTCAATCAGGTAGAATCTAAAAATCTCAATAGGCCCATAACTACAGAGGGAATTGAAGCAGTCATCAAAAAGCTTCCAGCAAACGAAAGCCCAGGGCAGACGGCTTCACTGGGGAGTTTTACCGAACATTCAAGGAAGAATTAAAACCTATCCTCCTCAGACTATTCCAAAAAATTCAAGAGTAAGGAACACTTCCAAGCTCATTCTATGAAGCCAGCATCACCCTAATACCAAAACCAGATAAAGACAACACAATGAAAGAGAATTACAGGCCAATATCCCTCATGAACATAGATGCCAAAATCCTCAGCAAATTCTAGCAAATCAGATCCAGCAGTACATCAGAAAGATCATACACCATGACCAAGTAGGATTTATCCCAGGGATGCAAGGATGGTACAATATCCGCAAATCAATAAACGTGATACATCACATAAACAAATTGAAAGAAAAAAACCACATGGTCATATCAATTGATGCAGGAAAAGCATTTGACAAAATCCAACACCCTTTCTTGATAAAAATTCTCAGCAAGGTGGGAATAAAAGGCTCATACCTCAACATAACAAAAGCCATATATGACAAACCCACAGCCAACATCATACTCAATGGGCAAAAACTAACACCATTTCCCCTAAGAACAAGAACAAGACAGGGATGCCCCCTCCCACCACTCCTGTTCAGCATAGTATTGGAAGTACTAGCCATTGCAATCAGACAAGAAGAAGAAATAAAAGGCATCCAAATTGGAAAAGAAGAAGTAAAACTGTCCTTATTCACAGATGACATGATACTGTACATAGAAAACCCTAAAGACTTCATCAAAAAATTATTAGACTTAATGAATGAATTCGGCAATGTAGCAGGATACAAAATTAACGCCAAGAAATCTATGGCATTTCTATACACCAATAATGAACTTACAGAAAGAGAGACTGAAAAAGCAATCCCCTTTACCATCGCACCAAAAAAATTAAGATACCTAGGAATAAACTTAACTAAGGGGGTAAAAGACATATACACAGGAAACTACAGGACACTGAAAAAAGAGATAGAGGAAGACATAAACAGATGGAAGAACATACCGTGTTCATGGATTGGTAGACTCAACATCATCAAAATGTCCATATTACCCAAAGCAATCTATAGATTCAATACACTCCCCATTAAAATACCAATGGCATATTTCACAGACCTAGAACGAGCTTTCCAAAAATTCATCTGGAATAAAAAAAGACCCCAAATAGCTGCAGCAATCCTGAGAAAGAAGAACAAAATAGGTGGGATCTCAATACCAGATATCAAGCTGTATTACAAAGCCACTGTTCTCAAAACAGCCTGGTACTGGCACAAGAACAGACACAGAGATCAATGGGATAGAATAGAGAACCCAGAAATTGACCCAAACCACTATGCTCATTTAATATTCAACAAAGGAGGCATGAACATACAATGGAGTCAAGACAGCCTCTTCAATAAATAGTGTTGGGAAAATTGGACAGATACATGCAAACAATGAAACTAGACCACCAACTCACACCATACACAAAAATAAACTCAAAATGGATAAAGGACTTAAACATAAAATGGGAAACCATAAAAATACTATAGGAATCCACAGGCAGCAAAATCTCAGACATATGCCGAAGGAGTGTCTTCACTAATACAGCTCCTAGGGCAATGGAAACTAAAGAAAAAATAAACAAATGGGACTATATCAAAATAAAAAGCTTTTGCACAACAAAGGAAACCATCAACAAAACAAGAAAGCTCACTGCATGGGAAAACATATTTGCCAATGTTATACCAATAAGGGCTTACTCCCCAACACTTACAGGGAACTCATACAACTTAACAAAAGGAAGATAACCCAATCAAAAAATGGGCAAAGGACTTA